GACCTGCTCGCTATGTGGGACACGGTGAATTCTTGTTTATTATCATATTTATAGAAGTTTTTGTGTCGGGCGTATCATGTTATTTAGTTGTTTTTATCCGCCACACCTTACAGGCCGGTCCATGAAAATATTGTCGGACATTAAACTTGTCTGTGGAGCAGAAAAGGTGGGGGACCGCTGGTCTAGTGTATCCTTATCTAATAACGTGTATAATTCTTGTATCCTGTTAAAATGTTGTTAAGTTAAATGTTAGATCTGATGCGATGAGAGTTCCCATCCTTCATACAAACATGATCAGGGAGCTCCGACATGGAAAGCAGATTATTGACTTGACTTGATTTGTGTTTTCATAAAGTGAATAATGTCATTCAGACTTATCCCAGCGCTTGCACAGTGACAGGACACCTTGCTGTGTGCGTCTAATATAGGGGTGGGTTTAAAAAAATCGATATTCCTATTCAAATTAAATAGTTTTTTTCTGTCAAAAAGCCCCATTTCTGCTTTTCAGTACTGAAGAAATTTCAGCTTTTACACATTGTGCCAAATTGGAAAATGCTTAGCTAAAACCTCTGTAACTTTGCTCTGCTTCAGTTCAGCAGCGTCAGGTAATGTTCACATGTTGATTCATGGTTTTCTTCCATTTTTGATCTACTGCAGCATATAGTCAGGGGCGTTATATGCTACAGAAGACCAGGCCAGGAACACCTCAGTGTTTTATCCTCAGTGACTTTGACACAGTCTGCTGTGATGAGGTGTCAGCTTTCTTGTTATACTTAGACAGTTTACACTCAGTTTGTAGTTGCAGAGAAACAGAGTTAAATATTTTTAATTTACAAGGTGTAGCAGGTTCCTACTTGACAGTACATATCCAATATAAATGACCATAATTATATTTCTGAGTTGACCTTGTGAATCAGAATGAATCGGTTGTAGAAATCAGCAACGATGCCCAGGCCTAATGGAGCTCCACTTGTGTTTCTTTCGTGCTGTAATCGACTATTTCATGTTTACCATTCATGCATTACTATCAGGGAGTGACGGTGATGGATATGGGGGGGGGGGGGGGGGGGGGGGGGGCGTTTGAGTAATTGCTAATGTGAATTCTGAAATGATCAAAATGTGACCACATGAAAGCAGTGCCAGAGATTCCAATTCAGTGATGTTGAAGGCTGCACACAGATCAAGCAGAAACGAAGTCAGACTCTCTCTTTCATCCGAGCACATCAGGACATCATTGGTCATTTTCAGTAATGTGTTTGTGAAACCAGATTTTATCCAATATATTATTACCTTCAACCAGTCCAAGTAACCGATGGACCACAGCTGAATGAAGGTTTGGAAATGTAACTGTTTAAAATGTGGGGAGGGTTAAGCAAAGGGGTGACAGTGGCTGTTTTTGAAGTATTGTGGCCAGCACCAAGATAATAAAGAGGTAGGTGCTCAGATGGGCAAATGAGAGAAGAGAGCTGAAAATGTAGCAGGTAGGAAAAAGTGTCGAGACGTCCTGTGGGAAGGCAAAACTTTTAGAAGTGTGAAAAATACCTTACAAAACAGTAAAACGGACACACACAGGATAGATCCAGGGTGAAAACGCGGTCGAGGGTGGTGCCCACTGTTTTGACTGGGACTAAATTCAATGACTTGGTCAGTGTTAGAAGAATCATCAACCACAGTGAGCTGGTCAACTTTAAGAAGGGAACATAAAAGCTGATTTGAGAGGGCAGCGGTGCTGTGGTTCGAGCCAAGCCTCTGTCAGGTGTTAGTTAATGGACCGGGAGTCCTTGTAGAGTAGACAGTCAGTTTATTAATACAAACCAGCAGAGTGACTGGCGCTGATAGCTCAACGATCCAGCGACGAATAACACAGTGCTGCCATCTTAAATAGGCCTTGCCATCACCTGGGTAGGCAGTAGGTGTGGAGATGGCAGGTGCGTGGGCCAGGGGCGGGAGCCCATACTGAGCACCGCCCCCGGCAGGTGAGAGAGAGCAAAAAACAACAAAACACATGTTGCCTAATACAGGATCAGCTGGTGAGGCACAGGGACCGTGACAGTCTCAATGAGAACTAAAGGGTCTCATTTTTAAGAGGTAATGAAATCCTTTTCATAATAACATAAGGTTCCTTATGTTAGAATTACAGAGATTGGTAGGTTAGTGCTTTATGATGACCAGGCCACTCTGTCTTACATTGTGAGCTTGTGTCAGTAACTGGGACTGAGCATAAAGTAAGGGAAGAGCTGGCGACAGCATTGTGGAGCCAGGACTGTAGTGTGCTGCACTCAGTTGGTGAGGCTGGAGCTGGAAGATGAAACAGAACTATTCATGACTGCAGCAGCTCGAGGAGATCCAAAGAGTCTGTCACATGTCTGCACAGCTCCTTCGCTGCTAGGACTCTGGTACCTAACCGGCTGACGTGGTCTAATAAAAGTGAAGAATGCTTCCGAAATAGATGATCAGTGTCAGTAAATGCTATAGTGAGTGATGTGCAGGTGTTTGTGAGCCAGGTGTGGAGTTTTGATTTGTTTTGAGAGTTTCAGTCAGGATTCAGTAGCCCCTGGCTTTTGGTTCAGGATTTTCAGTTTTTGTTAGAGATGGACCGATCGATATGACGTATCGATATCGCTCCGATACTGACCTAAATTACTGGATCGGATATCAGAGAGAAATAAAAAATGTAATCCGACCCGAAGTATCACAAAATCACCTCACAAAACGCGCTACTTGGCGTAACCCAGCTCGGCGCATCGGAGCAGCATGTGTCACGTGACAGAGCGGCTGTTGTCTGCGAGACGGCGGTCTGGAGCATTTGGAGCCTCCTACATGCTTCCTAACTGCGGCATTTCATCTCGGGGAAAACTCTCCCAGAGAAGTGAAGTGTGGAAGCTCATCCCTGGATGTGTATTTCCACGTTGAGCTTAGCAACTGATGTACTGAGCCACAGCTGGACTGAGCTCCATACTGAGGTGAAAAGGAAGCGATTTGTCCCGGACTAGAATTAAAAAATAGACACAAAGCTGGAGTTGTTCTGGGTTTACGTGCGCAGTTGCATCTACTTCTCTCATTCTCCCCCCTCCCTCTCCTGTTTCTACTTCAATCATGAAACTGATGAGTGATCAGCTGATCGGCTCTCTTGTTTGTTTATCGCTCACTTTGTGCCAGAAAGAGGAAACCAGCAGATGTCGCGCTAAACAACAGCAGCACGTTTAAGCTTGATCAGCTGTTGTTAGAATTTATTTAATATTAATTTCTAGTATCAGCTGATGTTTGCTGGAGCCACAGCTGTAAAGCTGCTGGTCATGATGTCTGTTTGGATATGTGGTGAGAGGGAAACATGAGGATGAAACCAGGAGATGTCCTTACTGGATCATCAGAGCTGAACAGGTGATGGAGAAACAGGTTTACCTTTTAGGTGACATGAATGAGTTGAAGGGAAGTTATGAACTGTTTCTGAGAGACAAATAACACCAGGATCCTTTTTTAGGTAGCTGACAGCTGGTAACTGTGCAGGGGCGGGTCTAGCAAAGTGTTGCCAGGGGGCCAGGTAGGGCATTAACAGGGAGAGGGGGGCACAAGGAAATACTTTTCTTTATGTCATTTAAAAGCTTTGAATAAATAATTATCTGAATCTTACAACAAAAGTGGTCACCTGATGAAATGTATAGAAATCCATTATTGTATATAGTAACTAATAAGTCTAATATACACCCTAATTTCCCCTTGTGGGACTAATAAAGGTATATCAAATCTAATCTAGTAAGCTACAGTACTTTTGCCTTTGGGAAGATACCATCTGTGCAGTCTGCAGTTCTGTTGAAGAAAGATGTTGAATCTATGAAGTGCCTTGAGGCGACTTTTGTTGTGAGTTGGCACTATATAAATAAAATTGAATTGAATATTTAAATATTGTAGAAAAATAATTGATTTCTGTGCATTGTTTTACACTTGCATTAAATTAAAGTTGATTACATCGATCAAGGGCGGGGGGTGGTTCCCCAATATTTTTGCTGGGAGTTGGCAACCCTATTAGTTGGGTTGCTTAATATTTCCACCAAGTACTCTGTAAAATACCAGAACAGGGAGGATGGAGCCGGTTTAAGTTTATTAGATTGATCAGTGTTGCTGAACTATGAAATGTTTTGGCTGCAGTGTGTTTTTTGCATACAGGTATAACAGAATAGCTTCAGTCTCTTGTTTTTTAAACTTGAGTATGAACTTATACAAAATGCAGCAAGATATTAAAAAACAGTTTTATTGATTACCAAATACGCTATATCGGATTCATATCGGTATCGGCAGATATCCAAATTTATGATATCGGTATCGGACATTAAAAAGTGGTATCGTGCCATCTCTAGTTTTTATATTCTGGTTTATGATTTGGTGTTTTTGGTTTGGGGACATTATTAATCTGAGCTTTTACTTGGGTTAGCAGGCACAGGGACATGAGACACTGTTGGGTCAGTGTCTGAGGTGGAGCTGTGAAAGACGGGATAACTTCATCAGAAATGGCTAAAACCTCAGTCTAAATGTTTGATGGCTGAAATGAGACAAACTCCATGATGTAAACTTATTTACATGTGAATCCCAGCTCACGTGGGCCGGTCCTGGCCAGCCCATGGCCGGATGTTGCCCTCTTGCTCTGCATTTCCCAGGTCTGCTTTAGAAAATTAAAAATAGAAGACAGATGGAAGAAGAGACAGTGATTACATTAAGTGACAGCACGTTTCTGAAAGGAGAGTTTGAAAGTCTCCTCTTGCAGGTTGTTTCAAAGTAGAGGGGCCAAAAGCACGGCCACCGTTACATCAGTCAGTAAACTCCAGCACGTCTGAAAGAACCAAAGCCTCGGTGGCATCGCTGAGCAACATATGCCCTTTAAGGCACGCATCACAGGAAATCTGCCTTCTCTCATCTGTGCAGTATTGCTGCAGTTACAGACATATAAACACAATCACAGAGGGACATTTCTCCAGTATTAACTGTAATGTTGTGCTCTGCTGCAG